GGAAGGAAAAAAAATCCAGATTTACTTTGATCCCACCTTCTTCCTGACACACCCCAAACCTTTCATCCTAGAAGAAGTTTGAAATGAATTTAGCTAATTGAACCATAATCTGATGACAAATACCAAGAGACTCAATATATATTTCAATCTGGGAGGGTGCGGGTGGGGGGGGAAGCAACTTCGTTCCTCCATTCAGGTACAAAGAATTTAATCTGAAGCCCTGGCCTGATGATAGCTTCATTAATCTCCCTAAAAGCAAACAAACTGCGCCTCGGCTCAATCATCCCCCACGGATGTGTAACCTCCACTGAGTAGGCTCAAGCTGACAGCAGCGGACGGATCTCTGGCGGGACCCGCTCTGGGATGATTTACACAAGCCCAGAATGACAAGGAGAAGAGCTGGATCCTCTTGAAAGGAGCCGATTACAACCAACTTGTGAAGAAGCCCACCTTTGCCTTCCTAGGAACGCTTCCCTCTTAAAAATCTTAACAAGACACTAGGCACAGTATGAAATAAAACGCCGACGGCCTCTTCCACATCTCCCTGCGCCCCGGTGCCAAATTGCAACACAAATGGATAGAATTAAAAGTGGCCTCTTGGTTTGCCTAACATAATTACATGGTGTGTATGTGTGTGTGTGTGTGTGTGTGTGTGTACTTTTTAACACTGTCTTTAAAAAAAAATACATTAAAATAATCCCATTTTGGCTTCCTCCCACTAAAGTCAATAAAGGTTATTAAGGCCAACTGCCATATCAACACCACAGCTATTCTAACACCAGGAACTGTCAAGAAAGGAAATGCAATTCAAAACAATCACAGAGAGCACAGGACACTCTCTTCTAGACTATGAGAAAGAAAAAAAAAGCGGGAGAGATAAAAAAAAAAATTTAAAAGCAGGAAGAAATTTCCCTCCGACAAATAAATCACACAGTTCTTCTAAAAATATTTACTCTGGAAACCATTCTAGAATATGTCCACTGGATTAGACCAAATTGACCTTTTTTTTTAAAAAAAAAAAAAGGAAATGAATAAATGTCATCAATTTAGAGGACAGCACACTAGCATACTTTGCACTACCCACCACAAGTTTGATGGTGTTAAAACACTTTTTATAGTTAAAATAAATGTCAGTTTTGCAAAGCATGATACCAGATCCTGAGAGACAAATGGCCTATCCACAGAATCTCTGGCTACAGCAAGACTTCCTCCATTCACAGGAGATTTCAGCTTTTCATATTTCCTTTACCCAGAAAGCAAAGCTGGTAGGGTTTCTTTCAAATGGTAACTCTTTATTGCCCTGAAGAGTCTCTTTATGATATGCTAATCTCAGATGTGGGGTGGTGGGGTGGTTTTTTTTTAAAAAAAAAAATACAGTACAAATATTTGAATAGTGTTAGAGTGTTATAAATACTTTCCTGAACAGGGTGCAGAGATGGGGGGTGGGGGGGGTGGGGGGGGGTGGAGAAGGCGACGCAAAAATTCCAGGGTTCTAAGAAAGGGTTATGTGGCTTTGGGCTTAATGGCTCATGAATTCATGAGGTAATATTCAGGGAAAAATGTGATATTTTATCAGAATGTCATTCAAATATAAGGTTTAGCATTTGCATCACAAGAGCATGTATAGAGTAAAACTCTCCTCGGGGAGAGAAGTGGCAGGAATAAACTGTGTGATAAAAATGGTGCCTGCTAGAACAGGGCATGGGAAAGAGCAGCCAGGGGAGTTTTAGAGACAGCTGACTAAACTTTTTGAAATATACAACCGGTTATGACATGTGGAGCAATTACCATTAATGGAAGAAAAGCGATTTCAAAGCTCATTTTCCATTCTTCTTCTATATCCTACCTGGGACTACACCTTCCAACCACAAAGTGAAAAAAAAAAAAAAAAAAAAAAGAACAGACAGAGAGAAATTACAACACAAGTCTCTTCCCGGGTACAAGGGCTGTCAAAGGTTGCTTTACTCATAAGCAAAAGGTGAAAAGTAATGTACATATTGCCTGAGGTTTTTTCCTTTTATTTTCTCACCCCCAAAAAAGATCGATGCTATGTTGCAGTACAGACAACATACATTAATTAAAGGTTCCACGACGCGCACATACATTATTTTACAATTCAAAAATGAAACCATGAGGACAAATAAGAGTAACCTGTCTAAAATGATAATAATTTTTCAGTAATATATTCTCTGGAAGCAAAGTGAATATATCCAGAAATGCCTTTTGGATTAGTCTAATTCTATAGAATACAAATGTGCACTAAACACTGCACTTTTTATGTTAAATTGCTGTTGAATTTGTTAACCCACAACTGATTTCCTGTGTTATGGAATCTTGAAGATTATAGCTAACTTGAAGCAACAGGGATAATTCTTGATAGCTAATGGTACATTTGTATGCATTTTCCTGAAAGGAAAGCGTGGGTAGCCCAAACTGGTGGCTCAACATTGCCCCCTACTGCCTACAGTTGAAAAACATGCAAGGTGAGCTGGTACAAAGCAGGAATTTAAGCAGTCCGTGCCAGTCCCACCCAAGTACACAAATACCAGATGGCATGGCACTAACCGTCACTGACCTGGAGGCTTTCCAACGACTGTTCTCTTCTGTCTCTTCCAATCACAACATGAAATTATTAAAAATTTGTTTAAAACTCATTTTAAAAAGACTTGAAGCAATGCTTAAGTTTAATTTAGAAGTAATATCCTTTTTTCTTGGCTCAAACCTGCACTTTGTCGATAATGATCAGCCTGGGCCTTGCTGAGCAGACACTGGGGCCATTGATAGCACTTAGAACACTTAGTAATGCCACACCAAAGGCAAGGGACAGAGCGCTGGAGAATTCCCAAGACTTTTGAGTATTTCTTACACAAGAGTTACAAAGTACAGAGAAGCTATTCCTTATAACTTGTGATCCAGAGCTGCCAAATTTTTAAAATTCATGACGAAATATTAATATTATAATTATTTTGCTTTTGGGGTCACACCCAGCGATGCACAAGGGTTACTCCTGGCTCATACACTCAGGAATTATTCCTGGCGGTGCTCGGGGGACCATATGGGATGCTGGGAATCAAACCCGGGTCGGCCGCATGTAAGGCAAATGCCCTATCCTCTGTGCTATCGCTCCAGCCCCAGATGACAAAATATTTTTAATAAATTCATCATCATGAGTACCACCAGTAAGCTGACCATACCAAATATCCGTTCTGAAAAAATAAAGAGTGACAGCAATAAGGAACAACGGCAACAAGCACTTTTGGACAAAAGCAATTCTAATTTTTTATTTTTTTCCAAAAGTGATTCTTCTTGCTTGTCAACTCTAATCACCATTCCAGGGTCAAATAAAGAGCTTCTAACTCAGTAAATAAACAATTCTGGGTGAATTGTGCCATGATTACACAGAACCCTGAAACTCAGGCTGCCTTTTTTATGTACATTCCATAAAAATAACATATTCCACACAGACTCATTTCAGAAACAGAACTAAGGGCTGGTCATTTCCTCCAACTCCAACTTACAGAGCTCAGTTTTGCATTGATTTAGACTTTTGGCAAAAATCTGCGCGCCCCCCCACCTCTTTTTTTTTCTTTGGCGATACTATAAGAGGGCTAAAAGGAGGATGCCCACTTTCCCTCCTCAGACATGCATCCGTGAAAAGGCATGGGTGAAAGATTTGAGGAAGGTCTCGCAAAATGGGGACTTCTGGGTACCAAGGCAGGCTTTGAAATGGGTTGTCCAAGAACAGGGCTGTGACCAGATCTTTCCACTATTATAATGACTAGCAACAGTTCCCCACCTTGGCAGAATTAGCTCCCTGCTCCCAGCACATTTCAAAGTCTGTGGGGTGGGGCTATCTCCTGAGTTAGCAGGCTTTTATCGCTTTTCCACTACATTCCAAATTCAACTATTTAGAGGAGAACAGAGAGGTGGTGAAGGACATGACCTCGGGTAAAACTGCCTGCGTTGAAATCCCCATTTGTCCAAGTTTCTGTTTTAACCTTGAAAAAGTTACACAGGCCTTTCATGCGTCGGTCTCCTTGCTTGTCAAAGGGGGGAAAGAATACCTATGTTATATATTAAAAAAAAAAAATCAAAGACGCACACCTAAAACATCTGGAATAGTGTCTGGTACTCGGTAAGTGCTAAGTAGTTGCTATTATTTAAATTAAGACTGAATTCAACACTTCCCAATGACCTCAACTTGCCTTCCGGCCATATTTGGTACTTAATACACACCCTGAATTCCTAGCTCTTCCCTACTTTTGATCTTGTTTCAAAAGTCCCTGGAGCCTAATGTTTCTCCCTAACCGCCCTATCTGACCAACTCTTCTCCATCCAAAGTTCTCAAAATGACATCTGCTGCTTTGAAAATGTCCCAGTTCTCGTGATCCGCATTTAATCCTGTCTCCTGTGGACTGTGGTCTTTCAATCTCTATCACAAGATCATTTTAGCTAATGTAACACCTGATCATATTAGTGTCTCTCCTTGATAAAATGAATGTGGTAGTAAACAGCCGAGCTAAAGAAGCCAGGCTGCTTTTCAGTCTTGTTCTGCCACTTACTCTGTGACCTTTGGGAGGCACTTAATTTTTCTATGCCTCGGATCACGCTTCTGTAAATTAAGGCTCCCGTTTCCATACTTCCTAGAATGGTGCTGCTGTAAGTATTCTGAAAATTAAGACAGGGAAATCTTTTAGAATCGTGCATAGGAAAACATTTATAAATGAGTTTACAGATTTTGGGGGGGGGGGTGTTTTTCTCTTCTCATTGTCATTTCCAGCATGAGTACAAAGCCTCCTGTGTAAGTGAAACACTCAATGAATGTTCCTTGCACCAAACTAAGGTCATGTTGACAAAAGTTTGGCCATTCTGACTACCTTACCAGGAGTAACCTGATCTGATCATTTATAAGAATCGAGATGTGTATTTCCTATGAAAATTACCCAGAAGAGGATTTCTATAGAACAGCCAGTCAGAACATGTGGTACTCAGATACTCACCACACCTTCCATCTTCTTCCACATTTCCTCCAGTTGAGCTATGGGTTGACACCACCAATCCGTACACTTCCGGTATCGATTGCCTTGAAACCAGAACTGCCTCAGCCACTCAAACTCAACCTGTGGACCATGAAGACAAAGCAGCGTTAAAATCCTCTTTGGATACACAATCGTGGACAATGAACTTCGTTGCTTGATTCTGCCCCTGTTATTTAGCAGCCACTGATGAGAGAAAGTGCGAGAAGCTCAACCTAACCAGGTGCTAGGGACCTAACCAGACTCCCAAACAGGAGTCTCCAGAGCATTACTGCAAGGTCAAGAAATGAGTGGTCTTCAAGTGAAAGCCCCCCATCCTACGAGACAACCCTGGAGGTGTTGCAAATGGCATTGAGTGGTTATGAGGAAACTCTAAGTCCAACAACAATAAACGCTGAGATGCTAGAGCTTACACAGCAGGCTGCACGACTTATTCTGGAGAAGATACAAGCAAAGCAAATGCACTTTAATTAAAGACTAATACCAAGAATAAAATATGCATATTATAAGATATCAATGTTAAGTTTAAGTTAATTTACTCACGAGTCAGGGAAAATCTGGTGATAATTTCAAGTCATATAACAAAGCAATATAACTGATAAATACATCTGACCTATAAAGCCACTCAAATGTCACTTTTCATCTCAAGGCAAGGAACAGTTACAAAGAGTAGGAAAGGCACTAATGATTTATTCTCTTTCCTACAAACCTGCTATGGTAAAAGCTAACTTCTCTCCTTAGCGTTCCTCCTTCATTTGCCGCCCAATCCCATTATTTACTTGGTAATCCACCTTCTTCCCCTATCTCAGTCCGTGAGGCAGAATTCCAGCTTCAAGACTGCCAGAATATGCAACCCAAGTCAGAACTAATCAGCTACCACATTTCTCTAGTGTGAGAATTGGATTTGCGGGGAATGGGCATATGTTCAGAGTAAGTCATGAGACACAAGATCTAGGAAGAGGATTCTGCAACTATTTCCCCACCTATGGGGATGTAGCTACAAAGTGAAAAGAGAAAATCCTATTCCTGGTGGCATCCACTGATGCTTGATCAATTTTTACCTGAAGCCTTTCTATTACATACAGTCATCCGTGTTGCATATTTTTTAATCCCTTGAACTGAACGAACCTCAATACAGTAAAGCTTTGGAAGGAAAAAGAAATAGTTTCCGACCTACTCTTCAAATCTTTGACCACTCACCTTCAACTTGAAAATCAAATTTCACCTTCCCAGTACCATGTCACTTATCTCCAAAGTGCTTTACCTCTGCCCTCCATAAAAAGTGTCAAGGGTTGGGTCTCAAAGGACGTTTCGGTGGCTAAAAGCACCTGCTTTGCAAGCATGAAGCAAGACGTTAATGCCCGAATATCACCCTAGCATGCTGCTGATAGCGACAATGGGGTCTGTGATCTCTGGTGGACAGGTCAGATGTGAGTCGGCATCACAACTCAAGGGCACCAGTCCCTTCAAGCAGATGCAACTTTAAAAAAAAAGATCTGAGAACAGTGCAGCCAAGCCTGGGTGCATGTGTGAGTACCAGAGCAAGCTCCAGTGTCCACTCCAAACCAGTGTACGCCTAGGCGGAGTGATCGAACAAGGGTAGCCAGCAATGAGCATGCGTCTCAGCACCACCACTAGAGTGTGTGACCTCTGGCAAGCACCATGGCTAAGTACAGGTGACCTGGGTCATCCTCACAACAGCAACAAAGAGGTGGATGGGGGGAGAAAGGGGGTTGGGGGGTGGAATGTAGAGTTTTCACAGCTTAATTTTGGATCAACTGGCTTTGCTAAGGTAATCGTGTTCATATACAGACACAGAGCTATTATAATCGTCACCTGTTACCACAAAGAATTCTTTTTTTTTTTGTTTGTTTATCCATATTGAACTTTCATGAGGCAAACAAAAGCAACTTGTGGAGGTTTAACAATGGTAGAAAATGGCTCAAAGAGCTAACCTGAGAAGACTGAGCTGTATGAAAAGGTTTTAGTTTACATTAACTAAATGTTTGTTTGATATGTAGAACTGATTTCAGTTAAAGCTGTTTAAACAAAAAATAATAATAAAAGGAATGTAGACAATATTAAGACAATAGTCGCTAAACCTTATCTATGGTATTAAAAGACAGTGGTTAACAGAAGTAAACTTGACTGCTTTGAAAGGAGAGTTGAACATGAGTCAAGTTCAACTTCTATGAAGGTACAGGTTGCACGACTTGATTTATTACAAGGGGGGGGGGAAGAGTTTTTTCTTCTTGCATATTCCACTTAAAATCTGTTTACACTGCAAGAACCACCTGTTGGCAAAGAATCAAGCTCTGTGTAAAGGGGAGTTGAAAGATTGTTGAAGTTCTTCTATCTGTGAGTTGGTTATTTCTATTAACAGAGGGTGCATCGTATAACCAGGATGCCCCAGGAAATAAACTGGATTGTCATAGTAACTAGGTAGCTCAACTCCCTGAAGAGATAAGGATCTGGGACTTAGTAAATTCAAACTCGGAAGTCAGAAGAGGGGCATACTTGCTTCACAAGAGAGCAACGAGAGCAAAGGTCCCTGCACCCTTGAATGAGTGATCATCTCATCGACCTCCTCAGAGGCCTGACCATCTTCTGAGGCAGACAGTGTCTTGTTTAGGGTTGAATGTCTTGGAGATAAAACTAAACTGGGTTTCACCCCGACTAGCTACGTCATCTGTAAAATAAAGACAACTGCATACTAACCGTGGAGGAGTAAGTGGGTTAATGATGAATGGTCTGCACTAGGACAGGTACTTACTAAAAGACAAGCTGAACTCGGTCCCATAAACTTATCATCCATAAGAACCTAAATATTAGGATGTCTTCTTCTTTTTTTTCTTTTTGGCTTTTGAGCCATGCCCAGTGATGCTCAAGGGATACTCCTAACTCTACACTCAGGAATCACTCCTGGTGGGGTACGGGGGACACATATGGGATAATGGAGATAGAACCCAGGTGGCTGCTCAGGTCCCTCCGAGGACATTTTCTGAGCAGGAACAGTTTTAACATTCAATGACTTCCTGCCCATCACACCTAGATCTGAAGGTTTCAACACTGAGGACTTACTGCAACAGTCATTCGTGAGTTGCCCATGACCATAATCTTTGTGGACACCAATGCCATTAGCATGTACTTTATTCAACCCTAACCCTCTCCCTCTTCCACTCTCTCTCCCTCCCTTCATTTCTCCTTCCTTCCTTCCTTCCTTCCTTCCTTCCATCCTTTCTACTTTCTTCCTTCTCTTCCTGCATTTCTTCCTCTCCCCAAAGCCTAGCAGTGCTCAAGGATCAAATCCAGGTAGGCCATGTTCAAGGCAAGTGCCTTACTGGCTGTATTATCCCTCTGGCTCAATAGTTCTTATCTTTTTTTATTTCAAAGTGGTAGGTTAAGTTTACTATAGGATTTAAATCAAATAATATCCTCGCCAGTCCTCCCACTGTCAAGAGAAGTAGTTGATTTCTAAAAATTATTATTATTATTATTATTATTATTGGGTTCTGCAGGCTGGAGCAATAGCACAATAGGTAGGGCGTTTGCCTTGCATGCAGCCAACATGGCTGACCCGAGTTTGATTCCTCCGCCCCTCTCGGAGAGCCTGGTAAACTACCGAGAGTATTTCGCCCGCATGGCAAAGCCTGGCAAGCTACCCATGATGTATTTGATATGCCAAACACAGTAACAATTGTCACAATGGTGATGTTACTGGGTGCACTTGGGCAAATCGATGAACAATGGGAGGACAGTGACAGTGACAGTGATAGGGTTCTGGGGATCGAACCTGGGTTGGCTAAGTGCAAGGCAAGTGCCTGAGCCACTGTTCTGTGGCTCCAGTCATATGTCTGTTTTTTTGTGGCCCGAAAGGAAACGAATTTTCATTCTTCCCTGAGTTCTGGCCCTTTGGATTTTGTGCAGGTTCTGCTCCGCAGCTTTTCAACCTTATCCTCCTTCCCCAACCATCGTTCAGGAGGAGACAAAGGAAACTTTTTTTTTATTTTTTTATTCTTTGGTAATTCAATCTGTGAGTCAAACAGCTGAGACTACTTTTTTCTTTAATTCTAAGAGAGGTTGAGAGAGATGGTATAGAAGAAGGTAGGGTGTTGGCCTTGTGTGCGGCTGACCCAGGTTCAATCAGACCTATAAGGAGTGATCCCTGAGCGCAGAGCCAAAAGTAAGCCCTAACTATCGCCAAGTGTGGCCCCCAAACCAAAACCAAATAAATAAATAAATAAATAAAAACAAAAGTCTAGGTGTTGTCTGGTTGATCAAGTTCTATCATGGCAGGATGGCCTCCATGCCTTTCCCAGAATGGACTGTCCCTGCAGGGATGCTTACAGCCGCCAGGACAGAAATGACAGGCAAGTCTCCATGGGGGAGGCAGACCCCACAGCCCTGGGCAGCAGGGATATATGCACACGCAGCTCTCTCGAGGTGCTCTCGGCACTCAGGGTGCTTAGCAAGCAAACTCCTAGACCATGGACGAACACTCAACTCGCCAGCACGGTTTTCTGAGTAATGCCAATGACAAGGTTAGAAGTGCCCACGGGGAACAAGCAGGCATGCTTACAGCCCTGCAGGATCTGAATCATCCCAGAAAAAGGTCAATGTTCGTGGCTGGGACCCAGAAAAAAAAATCTTGAGAACTCTCTGAACTAACCAGTGTCTGCCCTGCAGGGCCAGTGGCGAGGAGGCAGCAGGGAGAGGCTGAGAGTAAGATCAAAATAAGCTTTTCTCCAAGAAATGGCTAAAAGAAGTCTGAAGGGGAAGAAGAAAGTCCATTGACTTAGATTCTAGGCATTTTGGTACCGGAGAGCAAAACTTTGTGTCTTGTTTTGGAGCTACCGCATCTCCGTACTGCCAAGGCTCATGCCTATCCCTGACGCAGCTAAGCAACTGTCCCCTACTTTTCTTTTGCCAAGTTGGTCAGCTACCATTGTTTTCTCGGAGATGCGTGAAAATGCCACAGGGGGCTAATGTCTTGCAGTAACAGGCGAAATAAGACATTTCACAGGGAGAGACATTAGACCAGGGAGAGATGCTAAGGGCTAACTTACAAAGACCTTTGAAGACTC